TTCTTGCCCTTGGGCTACTAATTTTGGAAATATATATATATATATATATATATATATATATATTTTTTTTTTTTTTTTTTTACACAAATTACTTATTTGTTAATTATTTATTACAAAAAATTATTTGTTTGTGTGATCTATACAGGCAGCACGGTTTCACAGTGGGTAGCACTCCCGCCTCACAGCAAGAAGGTCACTGGTTCGAGAAGTGGTTAGGTCAGTTAGCGTTTCTGTGTGGAGTTTGCATGTTCTCCCCATGTTGGCGAGGGTTTCCTCCAGGTGCTCCGGTTTCCCCCACAGTCCAAACACATGCGCTAACATCCATACACTCTCACATTCACACTCACACACCAAGGACAATTTATACATTCATTCATTCATTTTCTTTTCGGCCTAGTACATTTTTTAATCTGGGGTCGCCACAGTGGAATGAACCGCCAACTTATCCAGCATATGTTTAATGCAGTTGATTCCCTTCCAGCTGCAACCCAAGACTGGAAAACACCCATAAACTACAGTTAATTTAGTTAATCAATTACCCTATAGCGCATGTGTTTGGACTGTGGGGAAAACCGGAGCACCCGGAGGAAACCCGACACCAACACGGGGAGAACATGCAAACTCCACATCGAAATGCCAATCGGCGCAGCCAGGACTCGAACTAATGACCTTCTTGCTGTGAGGCGATGGTGAACAGACACATTTTTGACTTATTTTCACTGCAATAAGCCTAATACATTACTGTCCAGTGTCGTTCTCAGTCCAGTTTTATAAAGCTGTTGTCCTGTAAGCCTTTTTTCAGTGTTTTCCGCTTGACTCTACCATCTCTGCATCCCATAATGCTCAGCGCTTCACCTTTTCCCCCCTCATAAGGGCCCATTACGCCGCTTTATTCGCTCATTTGTCTTCATTTCTCCAGCTTCCCTCCAAACTCTCTCTGCGAGGGAATTCATCCAATTACAATCAAGCAGCGCCGCGCTTCAAATCGCATTACTGCGTCCGGCTGCTGTGTAACAATTTAGCACGGACGGCTCAAATCGGATTGCGAGTGCACTTGAAGATCTGTTAGGACGGAGCCGCGGGGCCAGATTCAATATCTAGGAGCGTAGCTTTGCAGAACAGCGTTAGCATGACACGACCTGCTCCTGACGCCGCTTCTGGATTCATAATGGACTTAATATATCTAATGCTGTTTTTTTTTATGTGTGCAGGGCCCCGGGCGCTGGGAGAAAGGTCTCGCTGGAGCCCTGATCAACAATTCAGGAGATTCTGGCTGTCACGATCACTGGGTTTTAGAGGTAAAAACAATGGTGTTAACGCTGGACGATTCTTGATACCTGACGAAAAGAATTATATGTATACATTTTTAGCTTTTTTTGAAACCGAAGGGTCATTAATTGTGCTGCAGTGATGTAAACGGACAAAATTATAGCAAATGTACAGATATACATCAATATATAGAGTCCAAAAATGTATATTTTTGTTAAAATGTATACTATTTTTTTATAATTATATATAATTTACATTATTATAATTTTATAACTATATATATATATTTATTAATTTATTTATTTAGCATATTATAAAGTTCCATGTCTATATATTTAACTTTTAAAATATTGTTATTACTTTATTATTTTATACACATATACAAATA